GTAACAGGCGCCGCGTGGGGCGCGGGGACCCCGGGTGGCCCCGCTGCTGTTTTGTGCGTCACCGCCGAAAACTGCCCCTCGGGACTCCTGTGAGTTCTTGGGCCTGGCAGGAGACGCCAGCCGGACCCCACAGAGTCCGAGCTCTTTCAGCCCGGCAAAGTGGCCTTGGACCAGGCACAACTTCTCCCCCGGCATCCCACCTGGAAGCTGGGGGTCGCTCCTAAAAGAGGGGAATGCCCTAGAGTTGTCAGCACGGGGGCCCAACCCAGCGGTCACTGGTGGTGCTAGTGTCGTCGCTGGTGTGACAAAGTGACCTCAAGCGTGCCTTAGGGATGACAAACCTCCCAGGGTCACTCACGACTCCCTACTTTTTGCCTGGGGTGGCGGGTGGGGGGAGCATAACGTGCGGCCCCTAAAGATGAGACCCTTCCGTTGGGGAAGCAACTAAAGGTCGTTGGAAATCAGCTTGCGGGCAGAAAGACCAGGCAGGTCTCTCCCGGGGCTTGCCTTTGAAACCTCTGGTCTGCTCCGTAGAGGGGGAGGCGCCCAGGTGAGCCCAGAGCCCGGGACACCGACCCGTGGGTAAACAAGCCGCAAGGTGAGTCAAGCCATCGGCCGAGGAGCCCTGGATTGCTGCGGGTCCCGGGCTGGGCTGCGAGCCGCACGCAGGGCAGGCGGTTCACTCTCCAGCCTCTCCACGGGGAGAAAGACGAGGCCTTCAGCAACCGTCAAGGAAGCCCAGTCTCCTCTGTGCCACTGTGGGGGCACTGAGTGGCACGGGCTGGCGGCAGGAGGGGTGGCCACGGGTCTGCCTGTTTGGATGGAGCTTTGCAATGTGCTGCCTGCAGGGCCTTTCCCGAGACTGCGGCGCTCAATTCCCCCTGCCCGAGGTTGTTGTTGACAGTTCGTCCTGAGTGAACTTGGGCACGCGGCCTTCCGCCACTGGGGACACTGCCGAGCCAATGATATTTCAGGGCCGGTTTGTGTTCCCGTGGTTGATGGCGTCGTCAGGTGCCAGAGTGCACTGTGTGCAACAGGACAAACCCACCTGGCCCTGTGGCGTGCGCGTCGTGTAAAGCAGGCATCCTCAAACTGCGGCCCGCCCAGGGCATTTATCCAGCCCGCCCGGTGTTTGTGCCCGTTTTGGTTTTTTACTTCTAAATAAGATATGTGCAGTGTGCATAGGAATTGGTTCACAGTTTTGGATTTTTGACTATCGTCCGGCCCTCCAATGGGTCTGAGGGACAGTGAACTGACCCCCCTGTTTCAAAAGTTTAAGGACCCCTGATGTAAAGTTTGAGGGCAAGGCTGCAGCCACTGTGTCGGTCCATCTTGTTTAGCTAGAGCAGTGGTTCTCCACCTTCCTAATGCTCCGAGGACCTTTGGATACAGTTCCTGATGTTGTGGTGACACCCTGCCCCCCAACCATAAAATTACTTTTGTTGCCACTTCACAGCTGTCATTTTGCTACTGTTCTGAATTGGGCGACCCCTATGAAAGGGTCCTCCGACCCCCACCACCCTCACAGGGGTCATGACCCACAGGTTGAGCACCGCTGAGCTAGTCTCCTTGTTCACTGACCTCCCCCCCACTTCACCAAGCATGGTGTCGTGTGCTGTGGGCACATGCCATCCCCTCAGTCCTGTAGGAGTCACGCTGAGGCTTCTGGGAAGGCTCTCCAGAGCGCTGAGGAACCTTCGTTCCCTCTCGAAGAGAGATCTCATTTGGCAGCAGCACTGCTGCTGTTTGAACCGGAATCTGCTGACTGTGACTGAAGCCGCAGGGGGCGAAGACCAGTAGCTGGGACCGCTCCAGCCTCTCAGGGGGTGTCAGACGATTGGAGAGGAGACACACACAGATGGCTTGGGCCTTCATGTCGCCCTGGCTGTGAGAAACAAGCCTGGGAAGAGAGGGTGTGCCGACGAATTCTCTATTCTCATATTTGAGAAACCAGGAAGGCCAGGGTTCTGGGTGAAGGGCCTTCACACTTGTGAATTAGAGATGAGTCCCAATCACATTCTCGCCATTCAGATGAATCCCTGGAATGTCCTCCCGTTGCTAGTGCCCAAATTCCCTGTGGCTGATTGCTATTTGACTGGCAGCTCTCTCTAGCTATAGGAGGAGTCACAGTGCAATTGCCCTCTCTGCCCAGGACACGGTCACTCCCCCTTACCTGCCCCCAGCACTGATGTTAGGTTACGCCTTCAATGAGCTCAGGGACCCCTGAGGTTAAAATATTGCCACTTTTTTACATATGTAATTGTTACCTGTAATTAAGGGGGCTTTCCTGCCCCAAGACTAGATGAGCCGGGAAAGAATACACACACATGCTCACTCTCCCTGGCCTGGTGACTGATGCCAGGTAGGAGGTGAGCACCCAAAAACTTTTATCTGCCTTTAATGCCTTCCCTTCAATTACACAACTGCCCCTTAGGACCCGTCCACATGAGGACTGGAACCCACTCCTGGCCCCAGGGGGGTGGGCCTCCCTCCCAGCTGATTTCTCCTGATCCGCTCCTTTCAGGTTGTTGACCACTACGAGAATCCCAGAAACGTGGGGTCCTTGGACAAGACATCTAAAAATGTTGGAACTGGCTTGGTGGGCGCTCCGGCCTGTGGGGATGTCATGAAGCTGCAGGTACACCTGGCGTTCTGGGTCCTTCGCGTTATGAACAGCCACCGCTCTGACCCTGGTACTGGACCAGGCAGGCCTCGATGCTGTGAGACAGGAAGAGAGGGAGGAAGTTTGGTGTGAGCCAGGGGAGCACCCTGATAACGGCCTGCCTGGCGAAGCAGGGCCATTTAGGAAGTGTTCACAAACACACAAGGTCTCCACCTGTATTCCAGTGGGATGGGAGGAGGCCAAATGAAGTAGGCAAAAGCCCAGCCCCCTTGTCCTGCTCAGCTAGACTGTCTGAGGCAGCAAGCTAGCCTCACCCATCTGTTCCCCAACCTCAGCTAAATAGAGTAGTGTAATCAAAGAAAAACCGCACGGGTCTAGCGAGCATAGCCCAACGCTACACAGACAGGAAACCCTGTGCCGCCTGCCTGGAAGCAGCTTACCCAGCAGCATCCCCCATCTCCTTTATCTCAGAGTGCACAGCTGGCCAGAGGCGTCCGTGCTTATCTTGAGAAACAGAACCGGTCAGGAAAAACCTAGTCAGTGCAGTGTGTGCCCCAGAAAAACGCATGAACCAGAGTTCTCTGTACCATTGGGCACCCAGGTTTCAAGAGGTCCAAGTTCAAATATCTAGAACTGAAGTGTGGAAAGCATGTTCAAAGCTCTCCTGGGGGCCACAGGACACGCCCACAATGTCTCCCACCTTCTCCTGAGCCCCATCTTCCTGGGTTTAGGAGAGTCACAGCCCCGCCCTGTCTCCCAGATCCAGGTGGACGAGAAGGGAAAGATCGTGGACGCCAGGTTTAAGACGTTCGGCTGCGGGTCGGCCATCGCCTCCAGCTCGCTCGCCACCGAGTGGGTGAAGGGGAAAACGGTGAGATGGCTGCAGACCTGACAGCATGAAGCCATATCTCCCGGCACCTGGCTGCCGTCATGGGTCCAAGGAAGCGGCCAGGACTCTGAAAATGTTCCTCTAATTCCACCCCATCCCACCCCCATTTTCCTAACCCAGATCCACCACCCTCTTCCCCGCAGTTTCTCTAACCCACATCCGAATCCCCTCCCATTTCTGTAACCCAGCTCCACACATACCACCACCTCCTCCCCCCTTCCTCTCACCCTGACCTTGGTGATTCTCAAGTGTCCCTTCAGCCAGAAAGGGACCCTCAGCTCAGGTGGCCACTTCAGCGGGGAGGGGGGCGGCGCGGCCCTCTCCATTGCCTTTGGAGGAACATCCTTGTCTCCTTGAACTCCTTCTGGGCGCTGTGTGTGGCAAGTCACCCCTCTGTCCCCCATCTCTGCTGCCTCTGGGCCCCTGTTCAATCTCCTCTCTGTCTCCGAGATTGGAGCCCTGCCCATGCTGATCATGCCTCATTAGCATAAAACAGGCAGCCCACGTGCTGAGGGCTTCCAACCCCAGGCCAGGGGTTAGGGTTGGCACCGTATGTTGCGGGGAGGGGGACGCACAATTCCACCCCAGACAGCCCTGCTTGCTCTCGTTGTTTCAAGAGGGAAACGAGGCCCGCCGCTTCTCTGGGCGCACAGGAGTAAGAAGTCCGGCCCTTCCCGCTGGTGACAGAGGCCCTGGTGGTTCCCCACAGCCGAGGGCGGGGGTGGCCCTGCTGATAGTCACCGCCATGTTTCAGGAAGGACTCCAGGGCCTTAGACAAACTCTTCCAAGGAGAAGCCTTTTTTCTACAGTGGGCGAGAAGATTAGGGCCACAGCCAGGCGGCTGGGCACCAGCTACTCTGAGCATGGCGCTGGGAAGGCCCCGGCCACCCTCTCTGCTGCCGTCTCTGCCAAAGCCCCTGACTCCCTCTCCCCACCGGAGAAGACCACCCCCACCAGGCCTGGCAAAAAGCCAAACTTCCGCAACCCGACCATTGCCTTAAAGATCCATGGGGTGGGGGTGGGGGTGGCCCACACAGAAGAACCCAGAGAAGGTCCCCCCACAGCCAGCCTGACCCCGCTCACCCTCCTCCTCTGCCCGCAGGTTGAAGAAGCCTTGACCATCAAAAACACCGACATCGCCAAGGAGCTGTGTCTGCCGCCCGTGAAACTGCACTGCTCCAGTAAGGCTCTGCCCTCCGGGGTGTCGCAACCCCCTCCCCCACCCCCGCGGCCTTGGGGGCAGGGATCCGGGCCAAAGAGGACCAGGGAGCCTTTTGGGTCATGAGTTCTGTCTCTGTGGCCCCAAGGGGGTAGGGGGTGCTGAGCCCAGGCTTGTCTCCAGAGGCTGTCCCTCAGACTCCGCCTTCCGAGTCCCCACACGAGTCTCTGTCCTGCCCTCCCGCCCTCAGTGCTGGCCGAGGACGCCATCAAGGCCGCCCTGGCGGACTACAAGCTGAAACAAGAGCCCAGGCAAAGCCAGGCCGAGAAGTGAGCCCAGCCCCAGCAGCTGCCCGCCGCCCGCCCGCTGCCCTTGTCCATCCCGCTGCGTTCAAAGAGCCTGCTCACGGGGCGCAAGGCCGAGTGAAATACAGCTGGAATATTCCCGAATCCCTGGTTTCTCTCCGCCCCTTTCATGGCCTTCACTGAGCTCAACGTGTGATTGGCACGGAACGTGCACCGCAGTGTGCGTGCGTGCACCGCAGTGTGCGTGCGTGCACCGCAGTGTGCGTGCGTACAAGGTCCACTCAGACCAGTCTGTTTCGGAGGGTGACCGGGAGGATGTCGTGAGTGTGATGACTGGATGGAGCTGACGATTGTGCAGAAGACAGAGCTGCTGCTTCCTGCTGCATCAATAAAGGCCGGCACAATGGCACTTTCCCTGCTCAGCTTCTTCATTACGACCCTTCACTCGCCCCACGGGGCCGCCCCCCACCCCCTCCGCATTGCCAAGTGCCGGGCCACGGCGGCATCCCCAGACCAATGGGCCAAGCTAGGAGGGAGGTGGTCACAGCCTGGTATGGGCAGCGCTTTATGAATGAGGCTGGCACACAAAAAAAAAAAATAGGTGATATGAGAAGGAACCCCAGTGGTGTAGGGGGTTACACATCAGACTGTGAACCGAAAGGTTGGCAGTTCAAAACCACCAGCCGTTCTATGAGAAAAGGACACGGTTTTCTACCCCCGAAAAGAGTTGCAGTCGCAGAAACCCCCAGAACCAGTTCTACCCTGTTGCTAGGGGTCCAAATCCACTCAGTCATTACTGGGCAGTACCCGAAAGCTATGGACCAAATAGGTAAGGCATGGAGGGCAAACCCAGGTCCCAAGAGTGTCACCTACAGCACTCCCTTTTGAGCCCTTTCCCCAGTGGCTGTGCAGTGACAGATGAGTCAGGTGTTCCCAGCTTTGAACTGCACAAACAATGGGCCGCTCCAAGCTGTCTAGCAGTTTTTCAGATGGACAGCGGCTGGCTCGGAGATGAGGCACAGACCACCCCTCCCACTCCCCATTGCGTGTGTGCAGCTGTTTGTTCTTAGTCATGATGTGGGCGGATATTTTCAGAGCAAATTGGTTTTCCGGTCGACAGCGTCACACTGTGTCAGTGATGGCTGTCCCCACAAGTGCCACAGCACCCTTCCCACTTTGTCCCTGCGCTTCCCAGTTCCCATCCTCTCCCTCCCCACCTGAGCTGAAGTCCTGGACCACGGTTGCCCTCTGGCTTGCAGAGGCTTGGTGGCCAGCCTCCCTGCTCTGGCACTGTCCACGCTCCAGGCCTGTCGGCTGTTGGGCTGAAGTATGGCCGAGCCATGGCTGTGACTTTAGGCTGTGACTTTGCAGGGCTTCTGCAGACCACACTCGGGTTCCACCAGCATTCGCCTCGTTCTTTGGTTTTGTTTTTCTAATTTAACAATTTGTTGACATAATTCACATCCACAAGTCAATAAACATTAAAAAAGACGTGCAATCACCACCACAATTTTTAAAATTCTCTTTCTTGTCATTGTTAATAGCTCCCCAGTTTCTGTGGGATGCAAAGGCTTTTCCCCTGGTTGTCCCCCAAATCTATGCCAAACCTAGGACGCTGCTTGCCTCACATGGTAAAGGACTACACTTGGAGGTCAGTGTAAGCCGCTTAGAGGTTAATCTCCCTGAGGGTTACCAGCCGTGGAGAGCCATCAGACTGGATAGTCGTCCCAGCCTCAGTGGGGCCCACTCCCTTCTGATAAGGATAGTGGATTGCCTTCCTGAAGGAGAGCCCAGAGACATGGTCGAGCCCACTCAAGGATGACCAAGGTTAGGCTGCCATCTTGTCACGTGTACCCAAATCCCTCCCCTTCCTATTGGGGTGTACACCCCTAGCTCATCCCCTTCCTGTGACGCGTATGCTTATACAGCCCCTTCCTGTGATGTGGTTATCTGTAATCAGGGGGGCTTGCACACCCCTGAGTAGGCCTTGGTCAGAAATAAAGAGGCTCTCTCCCTCCTCCTCCTGCTGTCTGTGCAGATCTGGCTGCTGAGTTCATGGCTGTCCTGGAGGTGAGCATGCTACCATAGAATGTGTCTGACTCCTTTCTCTCCTCTCCTACCTCTCCTATTCTCCATGACCTTACTACCATCTTTATATAGTATCACCGTACAGCTGCGCCTATGGACCCGTGAGATTGTCAGAGGCTGGTTACTCTGACGATTCACCCCAACCTCCCCTGCCATCCCACCAAGAAACAACTCAGTTATTGTCTCTAGATTTACCTATCCTGGGTTTCATATGAAGAAAAACATACCCCACTCCCAAGAAGCGTGGGGTATCCCCAAACAAGAACAATATAGAAAAACCTCAATCAAAAAAAAAAAGGCAGAAAATAATTGTGGTAGTTACATAATTTGGTGTCAGCCTGAGAATAGTAAGAGTGAAGGGGTGGAGTTTAGCCTATCAGGTTGCAGCTTGATGACCTCATTTGGAGGTGCAATAGAGGGAAATAGATAAATAGCTCACTGGAGGCCAAACACTTTCTCTGCTTTGTATTCCTGATGACAAACCACATGGAGCTACACTGATGGAGCCAGAGCCCTGGAGCTGGAGGAGCCACATGGAGACCCACGATAGCATGGAGATGCTTCCACCGCCACTGGATCCACAAGACTTTCTGCCCACTGGCCTTTGATCTGCATTCGGTGTCATTGCATGTTTTGCGTGAGTCTGAAGAATTTATGGATTGGTATCAGACATAAAGGCTAACATCAGATTTATGGACTTGATCTGGATTGGGCTGAGATGGTTTCTTAATGTACAATTGCACTTTGATATAAAATCTGTCTTATGTACCTATGAGTGTCTCTGGATTTATTTATCTAGTCTACCCGGAAAAACACAATAATTAAAAACTAGAACCAACTTAAAAAGGGAGAACAGATGATAAAGTGTTACATTTTAAGCTAACTCCATATTAATCCACTTTCCAGTACACGCTGTCCGATATCAAGGCTGTTCATATGCCTGGTCGAGGGTCATAGAGGATTCTATGCAGCTTAATCCATGTGAGGACCCTGCAAATGGGTTTTGGGCTTTCACTGCCACACAGCCTTCTGCAAACGAGGTGCAGAGCATTTAACTTATAGTACCATTCCCTCCTCCAGTCTCGGATTTTACAACCCTTGGACCACCCAGGTTGGTGTGCTGCTTCTGTGCAGACTTAGCTGTCCCCACACTTCGATGAAGACAAGCCTTGAAGGCTTCTGATAGCTGGGACCATCTATAGCACCCATATCTTCTGTGATCTTTGCATGAGCAACCTAGTTGTCTTATGATTCTGAATTCCACGTTTTTCTCCCACTCTGTCCCCATCCAACCACCATCAAATTGCTCTCACCTCACAGCTGCCTGCTCACACAGAGTAGAATTCCATTATGTTCCTGCAGCTGGAACATCTGTACAGAAGCAGCCTGCCTCTTCTTTCTCCCATGGAGCGGCTGGTGGAGTCAAACTGCCGGCCTTTGGGGAAGAGCCCGCTGCTTAACCCACAGAGCCTTCAGGGCCCCTCCCTCTCAATCTGGGACTTCTCCATGGTGAGCACCTTTGAGGGCAGTCAGCAGTGGGAGCTGGGCACCATCTAGTGCTTCCGTTCTCTGGGCCATCATCTCTCCTACCCACATCTGCCCCCACTATTGGGGAACAAAGGATTCCATCCTGACAACCCCACAGCTGTGCACCCTCCAACATCCCTTCACAGAATGTCCATCTTACTGAGCGAATGAAACACCCATAAACTGTCACAAATCTTGCTCAACTCGTTTCAAAGTAAGGTGCTTTCTCCCCTGATGGTGGTTTTTAAACTCGAATACCATTCCCTCCTCCAGTCTCGGATTTTACAATTTATAAACCTTGGGTCACACTGGTCGGCTGCCTCCCCGCTGAAGTATAATCCTGTTGTAAGAAGAAAAGAAAAGAAAACAGGAAGAAAGGCAGTTCCCTGCCTTCAAAGGCAGTTCCCTGCCCAGCCTGTGGAGAAGACCACAAAGCAGAGCCTTGAAGAGACTAGAGTTGGAGGCGCTGGGTGGAGCACTCTAACCCTCCCTAGGGCCGTTTCTGCTCTCTAATTCCCGTCCCCTTTGCCTGAGCGACTCTTTCCCGTCTTCAGTGCCAGGGCCAACACTGCCATTCCCCACCACTCTCCTTTGTGATTTCTCAAACAAGACGTTTTTGTTTCATGTCTGCCGAGAGCCGAAATAGACGCCTGCACATCAGAAGCTCTGTCCAGAATAGCCGGAACCTCAGAGCACAGTCATGCGGTTAGAAGAATTGGAAATGATTGAAACACGGCTCTGTCTTCAGTTTTACATGAAAGGCACCACGATGCCCAGGGGCCTCCGTTCAAACCCGCCTGGCATTCTGCAGGAAGACGGTGAGGCCATTCGCTCCCGGGAAGGTCGGCAGCCTCCAAATCCTGTGGAGGCTTGGAATCAGCCCTGGTAGCATGGGGCTCCTTGGCGAGAAAGAAGAATTCCCGAAAAGCTTTACAGCCTCAAGAACCCAAGGGGACCACTCTAGTCTGTCCTAGAGGGGGGCAATGAGTCCGAGTCGACGGGGCAGCGCTGTTTTCTGGGGCGTGCTTTTGGTCTATGAGTCAGAAGAGACTTGGTGGCAGTGGCTGGGTTGGCAGCCCCGACAAACGCCCCTTCCACCACACGAGGGCACCACACGGCCTCTGGGTGGCTTTGCCTCTTCTCTGGGCTCAGGCGGGTCTTGGGCGTCAGGCCGACAAGAGGTCAGTGAGTGAGAAGTGGGTCTCTGCACACCATCAGTCAGCTGTCCCTTCGGAAACCTGCACGTCCACACGACGATGGTCTAGGGGGCACTTGGCATGTGCTAGACCCCAGGTGACAGCCCGTTAGCTCTCCTTACAGCCCCTCAAGGTGGACCCTGTTTTGCACCAAGAAGGTGGTGCCAGAGACCCGCTGATTTCCTCCCGCCTCTGCGGCCAGCCCCGGTGACCTCCAGGGCCCTGTATTTGTCATGCTTCGTTTTCCTCTAGAAAGAGGCAGGCCTTGACGCCATGGGTCAGCAGCTGCCCTAGACCCGAAGAGCCCTCACACACCAAAAGCCATGGTACCTGTTTCTTCCATTCCGTTCGCGTTTGTGACACAGTACAGCTGCCCCCTGGGTGTTTCCAGGTTCT